TTATCGTAATGAAAAGTGGTGATTTTTTAATGTTTATACGAAATTATTTATACCGAGAAAAATATCGGTATCCCGAGATAACAAATACAAGTAAATCTTCTCGAAAGTTAGCATCCGTATTTTTAAACGTGTTAAAACGCAAATATATCGATTGAATATATCGACTTAAAAAAAATTGACTTATGCCAGTTTCAAAATAAACGGCTCATATGTCCGGTATGATGTATGATAAGATTCTTTTAAAATATACAAGGTCATACGTATGTGTTTTCATAGACATAATATATGTATAATAAATGAAATATCAATCTCTCATATGTAAATATAAGGAGAAGATGTTTAAATTCATATTTAATTATATAAACACTGAAACCTAAGAAAAGATTTCTTTCAGTGACCAAACGAAAATTCTCATTGAAAATAAAACAGAACTATAAATTTCGATGAACATACACGGCGCCTTGTTTCCCGGAATTTCACAGAAACGCGAGAACGTCTAATTGCAAAGCAAGCGGAGATCGATCAGCGCGAAGCGAAAGTTCTAACTATTGTAACTGAGCCCGCATGATCATTTTCGCGGCGTCCTCCGAAAGCCCGTAGACAATGATAAAGTAATTCGAAGCGAGCAGAAAATCCAAGTACGGTAAATAAATGGCATCTGGTCGTCGATCGACCGAGCCCGATCCCAATATCGCTAAATCCCGTTTCGGATCGTTCAAAAGGTCTCTCCGGATACATGATCGTCGTCATGAAATTCATCAGCGCGGCTCGATTAGGTCGATAGGCCGGCGGTGGTATCGCGGTGATTCACGTTATCCCTTTCGATTGACTCGACCCGTCGGTGGTGAAAAGAGGACAGAAAGCCCTGGGAATCCACTCGGCCCGGCCAGAAAAACCGATTAACACGCGCGATTGTACGTCATAGGGTCCGCGGACGTGCATCCGACAGATCGATCGCGCATATCCGGCGTTTATGCAAGCGTATTTGCCAGGTCGTGTGCCGGGTCCTATGCAAAAATGATTGTCCTCTCAACGGTCCGGTAATCAAAGTGTCAAATTCGCAGCGGCGCGCTGCGGCGCGAAGCGAAGCCAAATTTGCATAGCCACGCGCAATAAACACCGGGGACAGCAAGCTATTCAAGGTTTCATGAACAATCGCGATCACTGTTTTTCGACGTCTAATCGTCTCGAATTTTTTGGCCGTTCGTTTTTTTCAAGAAACATTTCACGGAGACCGTCTCGTCACTCACCGTCGTTTACGGTTTCGAGAATCGTTTAGAAAAGTCGTGTAAAATGCTTACGGTATTCTGACGATAAATTACTGGCTGTTTGTGATTACGGAACGCACGGCTTTCTGTACTTTTCAAAAGAATCGAATGACGGAAGTTTTAATACTGAGAACTGAGTGCTCAGCTGGTGTATTTATGAGAAAAATCGGCGAGGTAACTTAAGAACGTGCATTGTTTTCCAGTTATTATGATCATTGGACAAATAATTTTCTACTCGGCGTGAATACATTATATAATTAATACAGCTAGATTTTTTGTCAAACTCTGCAATCGAACTATACGTATCAACCTTTTGCAGTCGGAGCCATTTTAAGTCGAAATCCAAAATTTTATGCGTACGAATTTGAATTTCCTGACTCACAGATTACGCTTTTAACAGTTTCTTTTAAATATAAAATTATATTAAAAATATTTTTGAACGTGATACGACAATTTTTAGCGATGTCTTAGAGTCGCCACTCGACTGAAAAGGGTATAATATTATACCGCCATTGCTGAAATTTTCGTTCTTTTATCGTTTGGAAAAGACAATCTTCAAGATACCACCACTTCTAAATCCTTGATGTGTACACTCGACTGTTTACGTTAAGCTGAATGTTGATTTTTCATCGATTTAAAAATACTTGGATCTTGTCAAAGCCTAAATAAAGATACAATGCGAAAGCTTGATAGTAAAAGGTTTTATAGTTTTACTGTGAACAAATTTTAAAGTCAGCTGGAAATGTAACATGCCCTTAAAGGTGTCCTCGAAAGTTTTGTACTTCGTTTCGAAGGGATTCAAGATAAGTACCTCGTATTCAGTAATTAATAATAAACTCCTCTTGTGTTATACGAATCATACAAAACGACTGTTTAAAATGAGAATGTAAAATAAGGAATCATGATATCAGGGACATGTAAATGAAGCTAAACGAACTTTTATATTATGTATTCTATTTGTGAATACATGGCAATTCATAGAGACAGTAGTTGAAGATGTCCAGTCATGAATATACATGTAGCAGAGTAAATCAAGTAGATCTATTCATAGTTAGTCTCCTATTGTTCGGTGGTAAAGTAATTTCGCCTTTGTGAATGCAGAAATTAATTTGCTGCACTGTTGCTATTTTATATAACCAGGTAAACGGGCTACACTATTTTCTATGATTTTCTTCTGTTATTTTGTAAATTGGTTACTGTTTCATTAATAATACTGTCCAACAAATTTGTACTTTTCTCGAGTCCAAATATATTGTGGTTACTGTATAATTAATAGCACTGTCCAACAAATGTTTACTTTTATCGAGTCCAAATATTCGACAACTAATTCTAACGAATTTTTAATATCATTGTTCTCCATCGCTTTTCATTCCTAAAACATTTTAATTGCAAAGAAAGTAAAATTCGCAAAATTAAGGACGAACGTTTTGTGGCGAATTAACGTTTACAGAAGTAAAATAACATATTTTTAAATAACGTTACAAATCCGCCAGCCGGTGGAACGAAATATTGGACAAAATGAATCTTGTCGCAAAAACAGACTTTGCTTTCCCACCAATACAGTTTAATTACGTCAACGATCGGGAAGATAGCGCACGCTCGTGCATTATTACGCGAAGCAGTATTCATTAGGTCTTCATTCGATTACTGTACGTGTCTATCCATTATCAATCAGACTGATAATCTCATAACTGCCCGTTAAGTATTTACGGGGCTATAAAACAAGTTCCAGAACGTTCTCTGCTTGCTGGTTTCCTCAGGTTCCACTGAACGAGCCAAATAACTTTCACAATTCATTGGACACAGCAAAGTAATAACACTAAACCTACCCAATTTTAACCCTTTGCACTCCGCTGTTCCCTCTCGTGGGACATCGTAATTCTAGCGTATCACTCGGATGTCCCCTCTCGTGGGACATTATTGGTTTATTAGTGATTACGGGGAATTGAGTTATTTCAGCGCAACTTTTTCAGACATGGCGCAAGAAATCAAATTAAAATATAGTAAAATTACTAAGGTATACAAGAAATGTCAGCGGGTTTTGACGAGAACGTGAGAGGCGTGCTCACAACGGTCCGAGCACTTCAAAGACGCCACTTGAAAAGAGCGATAAGGCAAGTTTGTAGAAGAAAGATCGGTATGCGAACATAGCACGCACTGTATAGTGAGATTTATAATCATAAAGTCTGGAGGAAAAGATTTTCAAAGCTGAACTCGGTCTGGTTCGAAGCGTCGAGCGGTATAGATAGATCTAACGAGTGAGAAAATCGTAAAAGTGATTCTTCTCTTGGTAAATAAATTGTTTGGTAAAAGTTTTTTTGGTAAATACCATCTTGTGAGTTAGTAATAACAATTAGAAATCTTCAACCTATGCATTTATTCGTATTTTTTATTAGAACAATGGCAAAACGTTCAAACACGAATGAGTCTCATGACACAAGTAGTAGTGAAGATGAGCTCCGGATAGACGTTTCTACAGATATGTTAGAAATGTTACACAGAAATGTTACTACAGATATGTAGAAGGTTTTCTTCTACAGTTAGTCTATCGTTTTGATAGCAACGATAGTGATATCGTCCAAGCAACAAGGCGACGAGAGAAAGAGTTCGCATAGATAGCGATTACAACAACAAAAGAAAATTATAAAACAAACAATAACAAAATTATAAAAAATAAAATATTGATTGTTTTGCAAATTTCTCGATTTCAGCCAGATTCATATAAGTCCAATATCATTATAATATGTTAGTTAGTTCCAAACCTATACTAAATAATACGAGGGTCTGTAAATTCTCGAAAAGTGGCGTCCAGAATGGTGGGGAGTGCTAAGGGTTAACACTAAACGTAATGTTGCCGTTCAAATGACCCATTTCCAATTTGTTATTTTAGCATTATTGAACTAACGAAGATACTTTTATGGAAAATGATGGATTACATTTTTTAATCTAGTATATATCTATTTATCAAAATGACTAAAGGTCGAAATAAATGCAACCTTACAATTTTTATAAGATGAAACGAACCAGACACATTTAGTGCTCGGTACATTTATTATTACATTAAAAGTGACTAATGCGTGTTGCTCTGTAAGAACGACAGGACTGAGTTTATTTAGATCGTTCACCATGTTATAACATAAAGGTACTCGAATTAAGAAATATAGTCAATCATTTCCAATGAAAAAGTCTTTATAACTCTAGCAACTTCGAAACAACAACCTCGACAACCAATAATAACAAGTCTTTATACTTTGAGCAACATTAACCCTTTCGGTACGAGCGCGCTGTCCGCCGTGACACTCCCGCTGTTCGGGGTGCCGCGCCGAAAATGCGCACATAACGCAGGGTCAGTCCACTTTTCTACGAAGATTTTCTTAAGCGTTAAGTAATGACTGTACTTGATCCGTTTCTAAATCTTTTGTTTCCTATAAACATTCTGTAAAGGGTCTACAATATGTTAAAATCTGTGAACAAGTTTCGAAGAAAAATGTAACCTGAAATTTTTTTAATCAATTCAGATCAAACGACAATTATACCTGTAGCTGTTTTTTTCGGAATCCTTGTAAGAAAAGACTTTATCCGGATGAGTCCCAGGGATTATTCAGAAAACACGGTCGAAAAATGCCAGAATAATTTCTAATATGTCAGAAATATGGCTCACATGGATGCCAGATGTATTCGGCACTCGTCCGTATTGGTCGTCAAATGGATGCCGGATATATCCCGCGCTCGTACCGAAAGGGTTGAAACAAAAAAAAATATGAAAACGGTCATTTCGATTGGTAGATCTAGTGTTAAAAATAAAGATTACCGTGAACGATTTCGAAGCCTCGGTAAAAACAAGTCCTTGTGTTTTTAGTAACTTTAAAATAAAAGAAGAAAGAGATCGATCATTATAATCGGTAGATTCAGTGTTAAAAATTCAGATTACTGTGAACGATTTCGAAGCTTCCGTAAGAAGAGAAAATAAAGAGAACCTGCTCGTACGATTGCTGGGCATGTAGCAACCAGCAAGTTAGGTACTTCTCCTCTCGACAGAACTCCCGTCCGAGTCATGCTCGATGGGAAAGAGTCTCGACGGAATTAATTACGTCGACCATCGCGCAGCCGTCGCGACGGAAACTTTCCGGCTTCGGAGCACGTTATTCCGCAGCTCGGCTCGCGCGTCTCCTGCCGAAAAATCCGCGACTCCCGTTCCCAGAGATCGACTGATATGTTAGCCGTTCCTTCTCGGAACTTCGTTTCATCCTCGGCGGCTCTGGCAACGCGTGCTCTCCCAATACCGACGGTCCCGTACCGGACCGCCGTCGACGGAGCAAACCACGACAGAGAATAGACCCAGAGATCGACCCGTTTTCCCGTTTGACGTATCACGTGCTCACTAGGGCGAAAACGTATACACAAAAACTGCGCAAGTACAGTATCTCGGGAGCGGCAGACTCACAGCTCGTTGAGGACCACGCACATGATCCTTTTGATAGAAGGGAAACTTCGTTGTCCTTCTTGGCGAAGGTTTCGCGCTATCGTCCGTTTTCGACGCCCTACGGGAAAGAGGAAACGCGAAGGAACAAGAAAGAAGAGTCTGTCGAGATGGCGCGTTCGAGGGACGTCGGCCTCGGTTGCGTTCGTTTCTGACAGGGGAAAGCTTCGTTCTCGCTAACTTTCGCCCGTGGATAGCGTCTCCGCTTTTCGCCGGTGAACCGTCCACTTTGCGGACCAGGTCCGGCGTGATCGTTGCGAAGTCCTGGCACGCGAGGGTCGCGAGCCCTCTGCAACTTTGTTCCTTCAGCCTGGCCACCGGATGCTTCGCGAGGAAAGAACGAGTCAGCATCATTCGAACCGAAGGCCCGCGAAGATTGAGTCCTGGCATCACGGTCACCTCAGGAGCGACGAGCCGAACGCTGCGACCACGGTCAGAACTATGGCAGATCGCAGCTTGCTGCTGCCGCCGTGCTGCATGGCTGCTGGATTCTCGCCTGGAACAACAGTAACGACACGTTAAGGATTCTGCTCCTGTCTCGTCGAACTTTGTTGGGCAAACTTTATTTTTGGTGCCTTCCAATTTTTCCGTGATTTCGAACCCTTCCCACTGTGACCTCTTTCGCGACTACATTAATTAACACTTCGTAATTCATTACTTCAAAACGAGATTATATAAATTGCTTGCAGAAACTGCTGATCTGCTGATTCTCTGTCAATATTAATATTATACAGGGTGGGGAATTTTAAACAGGTCACCTGAATAACTCGCTTGTTTTTGAAGATAGGAGAAAATGCATTAGACCAAACTTACTTGGTACCGGGGGGCTCATAATCTGGTATCATCAATTTTTCTGTAGGTGGAGGCGTCGAGGAGATACGAAGGTCAATTCGGTTTTTTTTAAATGGAACAGTATGATTTTTTACTTACATTCTGATAGAGCGTTTCGAGGCGAATACAATGAACTATTATGAAGGTCGTTCAAGGTCACCCAAAGTGACACAGAAAAGCAAAGCTAAAATACAATAAAATGGCAAATAATCACACAAATTTGTTTATAAATCTAATCAAGAAATAACGTCATCTATTTACTTGTGTGCAATTTTTATCGTCATAATGTAAAAGCTAAGATCAAGTCCGATGCAACGACCACTACGCTATGACCATATGACATTTAGTACGAAAAGTCCAGAAATATTTACGACATTTCTAATCCTTCGCCGAAATGTATAAATCTCTGAATTTTTCTTCGAATTATTTTCTAAAACAGATAATTTAAAATTACCAATAATGTTTGAGGATACAGATAAGCGTACAATGTGACTGAGTGTTTGTTTATCTTTTGTGACCCGTGTCATGTAATACACACATGTGATACACAAGTATTCGAAAAGTACTCTGAGACAATTTATTTTCTCTTGCAGTTGGCTTTGGGTGACCTTGAACGACCTTCATAATAGTTCATTGTATTCGCCTCGAAACGCTCTATCAGAATGTAAGTAAAAAAACTTACTGTTCCATTTAAAAAAACAGAATTGTCTTTTGTATCTCATTGACGCCTCCACCCACAGAAAAATTGGTGATACCAGATTATGAGCCCCACGATACCAAGTAAATTTGGTCTAATGCATTTACTCGTATCTTCGAAAACAAGCGAGTTATTCGGGTGAACTGTTTAAAATGCCCCACCCTGTATAGGTAGCGTTTACCCATTTTTAAGCCAATCAAATTAGCCCTTTATTTTTGAATGTGTGTTAAATTAAATTAAAATAATTTCTCTGATAGGACAAGACGATTTTAATTTCTTCTATGTTTTCATTTACTGTTATTCCCAAACTTTGATAACAGATGAATCAAATTTTGTTTCGATTTACAAAAAATGTTACAAGTTTCATACTCAATTTTGACTTCTACCCATTTATTTTCATCATAATTACACAATATTTGGAGTCTAACCATAATGTGGATATTCTATGTTACAAGTAGACTGCAGATTTCATGCATTTATGACAAAATTGGATAGTTACAATTTAAAATAGCGTAAAAATTCAAAGCATTTCAGAACGTCAATGTATTACTTTTAATCTATTGAAATAATTAAACGAAAAATGAAGTTTCTACTTGGTTTCAATTCCTTGCAATCGATGTAGACAATTTTGATTTTGAATAAAAATCCGCTCTCACACAGTTTTGCCTTTCACCCATTAATATTCATCATAAGTGCATACAGCAAAGTATTTATTGAATTTGAGAGCAGCTTTATGCTATGCGAACAATTTCGAACAGCCGGCAGTGAAAAACACGAAAATAGCGACAGATATGGGGCACCGATAATTCCGCAGGAAACGAAATAAAAATAGTTTCATTGTTCTCGGTGCAACGAAATAGAAGAACAGAAATATCGATAGATCGGCATACTGTTAACGAATGTAATCATTCTAGCACGAGCCATGATTCGCTTCCACGAGAATGCGTCTCTTCGTCCGACTGCGCTGCCAGTAAATTCTAATTAAATATCGTCGGAGCTACGCTTCCGGTGCTATCATATTCCTATCGAATTATGGCCAGTGGAGTCGTTTTACGGAGAGAAGCTTCGATGAAATTGCTACACGCCGGCTGAATCATTGTACACATAATCGTGACAAGAGCTAAATTCGATTGGTCATAAAAGGTGGACGATACTTCACCGTTATTCGGTCATCGACCGTGGAATCTCTAGATTCTCTTTCTATATTTTTCTCGCTCTGTGCCTGAACGGTTCGCGCAACGAAGCGTTCAAAGATTCAATTAAACGTGGACTGCCCTGGAAAAATTTACAACTCTGTTTACGCTCGACGCCGGTAAGCCGATTCTCACAATTAGCTCTGGATCCACAGTCCCGTTAATTGGATCCCTCGAATTCCCGTGAAATAACCCGTCGGGGACATCTTCGTTCCGACGACGGACCAGCGAACACCTATTTTCTCAACCGTCATAGAAGAATCGATTCGAAGTTGTCGTTCCACGGTCGGCCGCCGGAACAGAAGTTCCTCGTGGAATCAGAATCACTCTTTAAAATAGAAGATCTTGCGACGAAATCGGGCGATCCGATTGAATTACTCGCCGACATAATATGGCCCCGAATTCGATAAAACGGGAATCGATAAAATATCCACCGCTTTATTGTTTCGGGACGGGGGCCCTGCTATTTCATATTCGTTCGCGTTTCTTTCGATGGCCGCGTAAAATTCGCTTAACCAATCATTTGTCTTTCGCATGGTCTGCGAATAAAATGTTCGCTAAATAATTCAGGCGTTTGCATGCGTTATTATTTGAATCCTTATTCGTTATCCAAGCTCTTTTAAGCGCGATGCGTAAGTATAATAGAATAAGTTAACCCTTTGCACTCCGATGTCCCCTCTCGTGGGACATATCGATACTCTTCAATTATTCTAACTTGTCTACTGTTTTAAATTAAGCCTATTCGCTTCTGTCACAAATTAGTGCAGATAGTTTCTCAGCAAGATAAAAATTGTGTGTATTAATCGCAAGATTCAAGAATTACATACACATTCGTTTTTCATCGTAATAATTGTAATACGTTGAAGAGGATATAGCAGAATTTGTAAATTCCTTAGTTGTCTTTTACTGTTTCGCATTCGAACTAACCATTCTCCTCATAAATGTATAAAATTCGCAGTCTAGTTATAACTGACTTGTATAGGTGCGAACATTGGGTATAACGATCAGCTGAGAGATGGTAATTAGATTATTAAAACGATCGAAATATGATTAACACTTTGCACTCCGCTGTCCCATCTCGTAGGACATCGGAATTCTAGCATATCACTCGGATGTCCTTGCAACAAACATACTTCTCCTACGATTTAAGTTAAAATGCTCGTGAAACATATTTATAAATTTCGTACATTTTAGTACAATCGTAGAACAACTTGTCGAAAGAAACTGCACCCAGTGCGATCGATGAAACGCATACAATATCGATCTTAAAAGTAGATCGACGCAGCTATTAACCCTTTGCACTCGAAGCCGTTTTAACTGTAAATCTAAATTAATTTTTCTGACTTATGGTGTTTCCATTTTATATGACAAAGTGCATTTTATGCGTATGAAATTTATAGTCTTGCGACTCGTACAACAGTTAGACTTTTAACAATTTTTTTACGTCTACACTTTTATAATGTAAAAGTTATCTTGAAACACGATGCAACAATTTTAATGCTGCCTCAGAGTCACCACTCGAGTGCAAAGCGTTAAGCGGTTAAACAATACATGGCTCTCATTCGTTCAAACGGTTAAGGCAGTGTTAACCCTTTGCACTCCGTTGTCCCCTTTCGTGGGACATCGTAATTCTAGCATATCACTCGGATGTCCCCTCTCGTGGGACATTCAAGTTTATTAGTGATTTCAGACATGCATGTTTCCCTGAAGTTTTCTCTTGTAATGGCAGAAGAAATCAAATCAAAATACAGTAAAATTACTAAGATATATATATATATATATATATATATATATTAGTTCCAAAACCATACTAAATAATACGAGGGAGTCTTCACTTGCGCCATTTAAACGAACATTATTGCTAGACCGTGTATTGTATGCGTTTACAGCAAAATTGGATAATTGCAATTCAAAATGGTGGACACATCGAGAGAATTTAAAAATATCAACTTATTATTTTTAACCTGTAAAGTTATTGAAGAAAGGAAGAACTGATATTTGGTTTACATTTCTTGCAATTGATGGAATTTTTATTTTTCGTACAAATCTGCAGTCTAATTAGATCCGCAGTGTAATAATTATTACATTATGTCTAACAGAATTCAGAAATTTCTTTCTCGTGAAATCTGCCATAACTAGACTAACGGATCTTTGTCCAAAATCTCATTTCCATATGTTTGTTTACGAAAATTCCAATTAGAGAAACCTTCCCTTCCTCGACCAAACGATTACTCATTGTGAAAAGAAAATTAAAATGCTACGTTAACTCATACGTTTTTCTGGGATTTGAAAATCTTATATATGCGATAAATGCATAAAGATCCGCTGTTGAGTCATAACAAACTAACTAAAACTTATAACGAATAAATCAATTATAAATCGAAAAGAAGAAATTCCAAAGAAAGAAATCAATGAATACATCTAAAAGCGAAGTCGTTCAGAAAAATCAAATCGCATATTTCTCATGAAATAAGCTTAGTTAATCCGGCGACTTCGGATCGATATATTAAAAGTCGTTCGCGAAGATGAAGACGGCGACACATAGAGTGCACTTCTAATCCCGCCGCTGTCATTACTCGCCTCTGTTACCGCAATCTCGAAATCCAACGACCGCTAATTTCCGCGTTCTGATTTTTAATGGAAGCTAACGACGTTTCCGCATCGTAACGAGGTTCCAGGTTAATTTACCCCCGATGTTTGACGTTAATTTCAATCGTGTCGCCTTACATACAATTATACCGGTGAAATCGAATTAAGGGGGACTCCGGCCGGCGG